TCCTCCACTTCGCGCAGGGAAAGACCTGCGCCTGTTGTGTGCGGATGCCTCCGAGCGACAACTAACGTGATGGCCTCGTCCTATTCCTGCGACTCTGCGAGATCGGAGACCCGTGGCCCTCAGGAACGTCCGTGGCCCTCAGGAACGTCCGTACCCCACTGCGACCCCAAAAAGGTCCCAACCGCCTCACCTGGTCCGACCTCCGCGCCCGCTCCCGGAAGTCCCGCCCTGTCCACGCTGCTCCGCACCGCGACGACTGCGGAAAGCAGTGAAGAAACGGAAGCTGGCGGCTAGAAGGGCGCGTCGTGATGACCCGGAACTCCTCGCGCCACTCTCCTGGGGGCCTCAGAGGTCATGGTGGCGCCTGCGCAGTGAGGTTAACGCTCCCGGGCGCGCGGAGGGCCCGGTGGTGATGTGTTCTGCGACCTGGGCGCGCGCGCTTGCCCGGAGGGGCTCCTACCGTCCGGCAACTGTGTTTCGTTAGAAGTAGCTATAGAGCTGCACCCGAGCGCTGAAGCCGCGGCTGTTGCCGTGTGGTGGGAGGATGAAACCACTTTTTTACTTCTCTTCCTGCGTCCACTTCTCTATTTTCTTTCTTTTCTTCGTCCAGCCTAGGCCTTATGCGTTCCAAGGGCATTGCTTCATTCTAGGGGCTGCAGAGTTTTCTGACCCCCCTCCCCCGGGTGCCAATTCCTCCTCTTCCGCTTATCCGTTCACCCTTTAAATTAGTGTCATCCAGGAAGCCCGCCTTGATACTCCTGGGCTGGGTGAGGGCGCTCTCTGGGGCTCTCTGTGTCTCTCTCCCCCACTGGCCTGGAAGCCTGGCCTGGAAGCTTCTTCAGAGAGTAGGGTTGGGACATTCATTTGTCTCCCAGGTGGTTACCTAGACCTCACTTGGCAGGTAGCAGAAGCGCTGTAAGTATTTGCTATTAATGACTTACTTCACTTCACGCTAAACATGCTCCCGTAGGCATTGTATGAATCAGTTATTTGAATACTTAATAATAGTTCAGCTTATTTTCTGAGCCTTATTCAAGGCCTTTCATAAATACTCCAAACTGTGCCCTGAAATATATACCTAGATGGTATTCTAATGGTATTCTCTTCCCTCCTATAGGATTTGCTTGTATTAAGTTATGTTTTGACACTTTATCAATATGTGCTGCTGTTGTTAGGTGCCTTCGAGTTGATTTAGACTCATAGTGACCCCATGTGACCGAGTAGAACTGTCCCACAGAGTTTTCTAGGCTGTAATCATTACCAGAG